TGGTCATCGCTGACAGAATCATAATCGCCTCATCGGAGACGTCGTACAACTTCACAGCTTCTGAGTTGTGCTTCAAGCGCTGACACACATCGCATGGTGTCGTACTTTTTAGACACATTTGTGCATCATATACCTGAACATACAGCAGTTTGGCCCTCTACAAGCACTCCATTTTCCGATTATCTTTTCAAATGCGATGAAAAGCTATCATCTACTAGCCAGCAATGAAAGGGTACTAAGCAATTCCAGAAAACGAACGAATGATCGCTCACCTCTCCAAAATGCTCAACGAGAAGCTTTCGCCTGCAGACTGAAATATTTTCGCAGTACGACACCACTTGGTAGATGTTTTGTAGATGCATAGATCGGACGCTTGCTGGAGCTTGACAGTCGTCACCTACAAAATATTCACTTCCATGCACATTCCTAATTCGAAGAAGTTTCTCTTGGATTATATCAGCTCTAAGAGGCCGCGGTGACACTTTGCGACGGTCCCGCTGTTCGAGTGTGGACTGCATAGGTATCGATCGTGCGATCGCAAAGTATAATCGCGGCCTATACTTCCTCACCCTCAATCATCCGCCGTATACGGTGCACATCATGATAACTGTACAGCAATAGACAATACGATGGATTCCCGTCTCGTCCAGCTCGTCCAGTCTCTTGATAGTAACCCTCGATTGATTTTGGAAGACTGCAAAGGGAAAACTCTTCGGGTTCTTTCACCGGTTTTACGGCCTTGACTGTCTCCAAACGGTTTCCTCCTGGAGCTCACTAACGCATTCTTCAATATCCAGTATGCTAACCCTCGCAATTGTCAAAAACGATGACAAGAGAGAGAGAGCAAAATCGCGATCATTTTACTTTGAACAACTAAAATTGAGGGCGGAAGTGGTGTAGTGGCAAGTGGCACGCTTACCACGCGAGCGGTCCGGGGATCAAATCCTGGGTCGTGAGTCGCCCGGGCCAACCAAGCCTTCCATCCCTCCGGGGTCGGTTAATTGGTACCAGACTTGTCTGGGAGGATAAAAACACTGACTTGTACATCGGCTGGCCCCCGCAAGTCATTGTATAGGCCACATCGCATTCAAACGCCACTACGAATGTACAAATGGAAGTAGAATGCGTGCCGCATCCCAAAAAGGGATTGATCAACGGCAAATGCTTTATCTTTTATCCTTTAACTAAAATGGGGAATTCATATTGAGTTTGACATCTAGTGAAACGGTTCCAGATACAGGGGGGGGGCAAAAAAAAAAGACATTTTGCCTCCACTTCCAGATGGATTTAAGCACATTTTACTCAACTCAGACCGAACGGTTCCAACTTATTATTAAAGAGTGCATTCCATTCTATAAGAAAATCTTCATAGTGGCCACATACTTATATCGAAGGCTCCTGAGTGCGGTCCGATTCTTCATAGTGGCCTACGTGGACGGCATCAGAAGAATTTAGCCCTGGAAACATGGTGCACTGGTCGATCTCAATGGGGTCTTCGAAGGATCGTGTACCATAACGACCCTTACTGGAAAGCTAGTTCCGAGGGGATTTGCACAGTGGTAGCTAATGCCTCTAGAAAACTATCCAACATTAAATCGATTCACGAAAATCGTTGAGCCTGACGACGGTGACAGATGACGTCATATTCTGAAGACGGTGAGGGCAGTGAAGGAGAGCCTGCGTACACTAATAGAGGAACACTTAGGGAATACTCTGCTGAGGAACTCCCGTCAACGACAGCAATCTCTGCGAAGAAAAAAGAGCCGAAGTCCGACATAGGCAAAATGTCTTTTTTTTTGGCCCCGTATAACCCCCCCCCTGAAACCGAATTGTCATAATTATCTTCGCAGCACAAACAAATTAGAAAGTCGAAGAAGCGCGTTTACTTGCTATGTGAATCTATAGCTCGTCCACGACGGGGTGAATAACTATGCACTCGTCTTTCTATCCTCTTTTCTGCGATGTCGAAGTCGGCGCGTTCAACTTGAAGAGAAGCTCGCGAACATTCGCTAAGTATGACACCTGACGACAGTTCATGGCGTGCCTGAGTCTAATGCCTCTCTGCCTCTCTCCTCTCAGCGTGTCTCTTTGTTATGGCTCCTGTCTGTAAATGAGATCCTTAATTAAAAAATTATGTTTCTCACTGGATTTTCTTAGCCCTTCTTTTCTTTACTATCGCTCTAAACCGCACACAATTCTACTTTTCTAGTAAAACAACGCTATGGGCGGGCTTGTAGAAGGTGTGGGCGCATTCTCTGCAAGCTCCCCACGACTGCTCAGTCGAACAAAACTGCTTCATTTCTGTACTTCAACTATTTTTGTACTACTTCTGTACCATTGAAAGTTCAGTAATCTCGCAGTTCTTCGACCATATTCTAAAGGCTTATGGTGTCTAGTCCTTCAGGCAAGGCTTGTGGGCGGGTCATCGAACTGGGAGACGCCGTGCCGGACGGACGAGCTTGTTAGCCACCACAAACTCAGCAATGACCAATGTAGTCAAGAATACAACTCTACTTTTCGTGAAATTAAGGGCACGTACCTAATATGAATTAACAAAATCGCCATCGCACGTCCGGTTTGTCGATACCCATTCCAAAAGCAATCGTTGCACATATAACACTAATATTATTTCGTAACCAACGATGTTGTACCTGCAAATAAGCGTAGTATGAACGGATACCGCTTCAGAAAAAAGCCACTGGGAAAGAAAATCACCCAAATCAACATAATAGCGGACGGACGGATGGTGCAGTGCAACCTAAAAAGGCTAACCCTGTCCACCTCTACTTACCTGCACTCTCTTATTATCGGCAAGTCCTGCATGATAAACTTCTGCCAATATCCCAGCTTTCGTCAATAAAGTGCACACAGTTTCGCATTCATTTCTGAGAACAAAATTTGTAACGAAGGGTATAAAGCGACTAAAAAACTCGAAAATTTCGCAGACCTTGACAGACAATAAACAATGCCAGCTTTTCCTGGATACAACTGTTTCATCCGTTGAAGCACATTCACGAACGTTTTTGCAGCTTTTGGCACAACCTCATATGTGAGATTAGACCTCACAAAGCTACTTATGAACCTGAAATTGCCAGAATCCTTTTGGAGAGGCTTTGACTTCGGTCATTGATCCCTCAAACAACGGTTGCAGGAGGGTATTAACTTGGTAAGGGCAAGCACCTTACGGCCGATGTCAGACTTTGCGAATCGCGCGTCGCTAGCGTCTGCGGTCGCGTCGCGGCCAGTGAATCACTCAATTGGCTGGTACCGCAACGCGACCGCGGACGCTAGCGAATCGCGCGATTCGCAAAGTCTGACATCGGCCTAATAAGGATGAATTGTGGAGTGTTCTCACCAAGTACTGTGAGGGTTGGAACTTTCTCCACTATGCTTACAATGGAGGACAATATGAAGGAATACTCACAGTTTTGAGTCCACAATTCCTAAATGATCTCTAGTGTCGGCGACGATCTTGGGCGTAGCTGTCGCTGTCAGAGCAATTATTGGCACCTAAACAATTATAAGTAGCATTAGCCCTTGCACGCATCCCCGAAAATGGCGTTCCCAGTTTCCCGTGAAGGGTAAAGGATAAAGTTTGAAAAGAGAAAGCTTTCGATGTTAATCGATCCCTTTCCTGAGATGCGCCACACATTC